TACTCTTCATCCTGAGCTAGAACTGGTGTAGCTGGTGTTTCCATTCCCCCTGCTCCATTGTCTCCACCTACCCACTGATACCAGCTCATCTGTCCTGGACACACCTATTCCTGTACCTACCCTCACTGGTTCTTTGTATCCCAAACTGACGCCCTTTTTGGTAGGAGTGAATTTTAGCGTATTATATTATTGTTCAATTTTATTATTAAAAGTCAAAATTGTGAGGAGAATTCTTAATAACAGTAACGGAGTCCATTAGACCAGATAATTCTCAGCAATGACATTGTACCATAACCACTGACATAGCACTATAACTACTGAGCCCTGTATGCCTTCAGTAACAGTAACTGAGTCTAAAATACACCTGGATGAAATGGTCAATGGTATAGAACGCTGGAATACACTTTTACCCTTTTTTGTTACCGGACGGGCCCCTCCCAGCCTTGTCCGAGATAACCCCCTTACTAAATTACAAACTGAGATGATTAACTGAACTTCCTCTACCTACCTGATGGCCCCCAACCAGAACTTGTTAGACCACAATATTCTACAAATGTCCGTAGTCCAGTTTTAACATGTATGCTTACTGGTACCCTCCAACCTGGCATTCACAGATGCCTCTCCAACTTACTCCTGGCCCAACACACATTGATGACAATGGCCAGTTGCAATTGGGGACCTGTATTTGTATAAGTTTATATTATTTCATTTATTTGGAAATCCCATAACCCCTCATATATGGACAAACCATAAGCTATGACTAATTTGGTCACAACGATCATACAAATCCACAACCCTACTTGAGCTGATTGTCAACAGTTACTATTAACTTTATTCAGTTCCGAGGAAAGGACCCGTATTAATCAATTTTCCATTAAAGCTCTTGAGGAGACTGCCCGTACCCAGAACCAAGCGAACCTGGTGGCTTGGGCTGCTGCCCATTTCCCCAATACGGATCCTAACTGGAATATAAATGGTACATATATGGTTCATTTAAAAGCTTACCAACAAGCCATTATTACAGGCATGAAAGCAGGTGGGGAAAAGGCTATAAATATGTCAAGAATAGCTAAAGTATTATAAAAAAAAACTGATGAATCTCCTAGTGACTTTTATGAGAGACCGCTTGAATCATACAGACTTTATACCCCTTTTTAGCCCGAAATTCTCGTATGATTAATCCAGCATTTGTCAGCCAGGCCCAAAGTGACATTAAAAGAAAATTGCAAAAGTTAGAGGGATTTGCAGGGATGTCCATAACACAGCTAATGGAAGTTGCAAACAGGGTTTATATTCATAGGGAAGTGTGAGGAGGAACGCAGAATGAAAAGAAAGTAGATATGCTAGCAGTTGCTATTACAGGCGTGGGTAGACGAGGAGGAGAGATAGAAAGGAGAGGTTAGATTAGGAAAGACAGACCCCAGTTAGGTGGAAATCAATGTGCGTATTGCAGAGAGGAAGGACAATGGAGAAGTGACTGCCCACAGAGGGTATATAAAGCAAGTTTTAGACAAGAGGAAGTCTTGGAGGGAGCGACAGTAGTAACAGAGGAGATGTCCAGGAAGGTAGATACTACCCCCCTACTCAGAGACCAAGGGATAGGGATGATAGAGACTTTGTGGGTCTGGCTGATACAGTCATGGAGGACTATTCATACAGACCGGGCTCCATCCCCCTTGGCCGAGTGGAGCCTATGGTCGAAGTAACAATAGGGGAAAGACAAGTCCCTTCATAATTGATACGGGTGCTGAACACTCTGTTGTGACCAAATTAGTAGCCCCTCCCTCTGGAAAGACTGTTACTGTAATAGGAGCTACTGGGAAAGGAGCTATTAGACTGGTTCTCAGGAATCGTACTTGCACACAAGGGGGCCATCTTGTTCAGCATCAGTTCCTATATATGCCTGTGTGCCAAATTCAACTTCTAGGATGAGATATATTGTCAAAAAGCACAGAAACACTTTTCTACCCAATGGATCAACGTCCCTGCAGTTTAATAAATCACCAGGCACGTTAGCTGTACTGATGCCAAAAGAAGAAGAAAAGTATCTGTATTCTGCAATGATAGCCCCAAACCCAAAGAGTGATGGGTCATTATTTGACATTCCAGGAGTATGGGCAGAAAATAATCCTCCGGGACTCGCCCGTAATATTCCTATATATTGAATTAAAGCTTGGGACTTATCCTGTTGGGGCTTAGCCTTTGTCAGTACCATATACCACAGAAGGTCAAGAAAAACATACAGACATACTTTGTGAACTGTAAAGGTGGCGGAAGTGACTCCCTGGATTCATCACTCTAGGGCAGGGGTAGGCAACCTACGGCACTAGTGCCATGCATGGCACTCAAGATGTCTTTGCACGGCACTCAAGGCTGCTAGAGCCAAACAGGCTCTGGCTATCAGGAATCCCAGTAAAACTTCAGATATCTGCTAATACGAAGAGGTGGTGAAGGACAATCCTCAATTTTTTTTGTATTTTTTTTTTGTCAATCTGTATTTTATTGAGGCATATTAGATGGGATACAGAATAGAGAGGGGGAAATCTGCATTTAGAATACAGTATAGGGCTCAATAACAGTGGTATCTAACATTTCCTTAATATTTGTACCCCTTTTTTATGTTTTATGGTTTAACGTTTTTTGTAAACAGGCTTAAGCAATATGCAATTTAAGTCGCTTAACATTGACTAGTTGTAATAGGTTAAGTGAGCAAGTTTTGTATAGGGTGAGTGTGCAGGCTCAGTAATTCCCTGTTGGGTAAAATTAACTCAAATAATAAGAACACGCTAAAATAATAAGCGATTAACTGCTTGCAAATACTGATGTGCCTATATCCCCGGGCACCCCCCACTGCTATCTGCCATACGTGGAGTAGCATATGAGCAGACTGGCTAACGTCCAGGCTCCAGCAAATAAAAATCTGTTTGAGCATATTCAAAATCAGGTTTGGGAGACATAGCAAATGAAGGAAAGCAGTCTGCAGTGCGTGAGGGCCGTGTGACATACAGGGAGTGCAGAATTATTAGGCAAGTTGTATTTTTGAGGATTAATTTTATTATTGAACAACAACCATGTTCTCAATGAACCCAAAAAAACTCATTAATATCAAAGCTGAATATTTTAGGAAGTAGTTTTTAGTTTGTTTTTAGTTATAGCTATGTTAGGGGGATATCTGTGTGTGCAGGTGACTATTACTGTGCATAATTATTAGGCAACTTAACAAAAAACAAATATATACCCATTTCAATTATTTATTATTACCAGTGAAACCAATATAACATCTCAACATTCACAAATATACATTTCTGACATTCAAAAACAAAACAAAAACAAATCAGTGACCAATATAGCCACCTTTCTTTGCAAGGACACTCAAAAGCCTGCCATCCATGGATTCTGTCAGTGTTTTGATCTGTTCACCATCAACATTGCGTGCAGCAGCAACCACAGCCTCCCAGACACTGTTCAGAGAGGTGTACTGTTTTCCCTCCTTGTAAATCTCACATTTGATGATGGACCACAGGTTCTCAATGGGGTTCAGATCAGGTGAACAAGGAGGCCATGTCATTAGATTTTCTTCTTTTATACCCTTTCTTGCCAGCCACGCTGTGGAGTACTTGGACGCGTGTGATGGAGCATTGTCCTGCATGAAAATCATGTTTTTCTTGAAGGATGCAGACTTCTTCCTGTACCACTGCTTGAAGAAGGTGTCTTCCAGGAACTGGCAGTAGGACTGGGAGTTGAGCTTGACTCCATCCTCAACCCGAAAAGGCCCCACAAGCTCATCTTTGATGATACCAGCCCAAACCAGTACTCCACCTCCACCTTGCTGGCGTCTGAGTCGGACTGGAGCTCTCTGCCCTTTACCAATCCAGCCACGGGCCCATCCATCTGGCCCATCAAGACTCACTTTCATTTCATCAGTCCATAAAACCTTAGAAAAATCAGTCTTGAGATATTTCTTGGCCCAGTCTTGACGTTTCAGCCTGTGTGTCTTGTTCAGTGGTGGTCGTCTTTCAGCCTTTCTTACCTTGGCCATGTCTCTGAGTATTGCACACCTTGTGCTTTTGGGCACTCCAGTGATGTTGCAGCTCTGAAATATGGCCAAACTGGTGGCAAGTGGCATCGTGGCAGCTGCACGCTTGACTTTTCTCAGTTCATGGGCAGTTATTTTGCGCCTTGGTTTTTCCACATGCTTCTTGCGACCCTGTTGACTATTTTGAATGAAACGCTTGATTGTTCGATGATCACGCTTCAGAAGCTTTGCAATTTTAAGAGTGCTGCATCCCTCTGCAAGATATCTCACTATTTTTGACTTTTCTGAGCCTGTCAAGTCCTTCTTTTGACCCATTTTGCCAAAGGAAAGGAAGTTGCCTAATAATTATGCACACCTGATATAGGGTGTTGATGTCATTAGACCACACCCCTTCTCATTACAGAGATGCACATCACCTAATATGCTGAATTGGTAGTAGGCTTTCGAGCCTATACAGCTTGGAGTAAGACAACATGCATAAAGAGGATGATGTGGTCAAAATACTCATTTGCCTAATAATTCTGCACTCCCTGTATTAAGCATAACAATAAATCGTTACCAACAGCAGTCAAACGTGTAGCCTTGCTTTGGGCAAAAGTTAAGCAGTGAATTAGAGTGAGGAGAAAAGGTTAAAGAGTTCTGCGTGTCCGCTTTCAGTCCCTTTCATCCCATGCATGTTCGTGGCCAGTTGTTGTCAGGGGTAGGAAGGCATGTGGAGTTGGTGCGATAGTTGTGGGTCGAGGTCCCCATTCAGCCCCAAGCCCTTATGGAGGGTGGCATCTTCGGACCACTGACTCGAGGGCTCTGAGAGATCGAGGCATTCCCTTGTCGGGTGCAGGTGGAGCCGGTGTATATTCGCCGCCTGCGGCGGGCAGTCCCCCTGCAGGGTGGTTGATGCTGCAGAGGTGGTTTCCTCACGGCCCTCAGCCTCAGCGGGCATTGTGCTTGCGTTGCTGGTTTGGGCTCAGTCGCTGCGCCTGGAGTGGGGCGCCTCTTCCCCTTGTTCCCAACTCCATTCTTGTGTACTGTCTGCTTGTGTGGCGGTACTTTTCTCTTTTCCCCGTGGGCACAGTCGTGTTTACTCGTACCTGTTAGGGGTTGCAGGGTCGCTTGAGGGGTTTGCAGCTTTTTATTTAGCTTGTGCCAGAATCGGGCAAAAGCAGCTTCTATGCTCCTCACATCTTCGTTGTGGATCTCCGTTTCAGATTTGCAGTGCAGCTCGCCTGGTGTGCTTGCCGCCGCCATTTTGGGTGCACCACGCACCTGGCTGCCCTTGTGTTGCGGTTCGTCAAATTGTTGGTTCAGCTTCTCGCTGCCCTTGCTGTCGCTTGGTATGGACCGAAATGACCCCCGTCGGTCCAGAGGGGGAGAAGTGGTCAACCCTGAGGGCACTACATCCAGGTCAGTCAGCCCGGGGAGCGGCCGTCTCCCCGCACCTCGATCTCCGTCAGACCTCAGAGTATCTCGTTGGGTCCCCGGGGGGGTTACAGGCTTGTATGTGGTATCGGGCGATTCCCCCGGGTGTCCCCTTCAAGGTAGCCTTCCTCCAGTGTGTGGCTGGACCGGTTTCTAGGGGAATTACACCCAGAAAATGCAGAATAAAGCGGGAGCTGAGTTTCAGCACAACCGCTCAGTCTGGATGCCAGGCTCCGCCCCCCGACAAGCCTCAATTTATGCATTGCAGCACATAGAGGAAGTGATCTCAGATCACTTCCTCCCGGCACATGTGAATAGGAATCCACATTGTAGTAGAGCAACCTGCAGCTGCTGTTGCAGCTCCTGTCCTTGACCTTTACCTGGCCAGCCTGGTCCCCACTGGAACCCAGGGAAGCCACCCACACTGCTAGATATACACAGAAATGCAGAATAACCCTCACCTCATACAAATAATAACAGCCCTCACACAAACATACACACAATCCCCACAAACGCAACACCACTAACAATCCACATACATGCACACAACCACACACGCAGCCTCTCACGTGCAATACCCCAAACAGCCCCACACATACACATACTACCAAACACACAATGTGACCTATCCATCCACACACAATTCCACATGCAGCCTTCATACACAGCCCACATTCATATGTATCATACACAATACCATAAACTACTAATGAACATATACAATATAATAGCTAATATACGCACAAATACAACAATACAAATGAATTGCAGTAAAAATAACACAAGCAGAATACGGCAACATGCACAACTTAATTTAAAAAAAAACAGGATCAGTACGCTAAGGGACATCACAATCCTATATCGGCACAGTGCTGCTAAAAGGTTGCCCACCCCTGCTCTAGGGTTTAACCAGCGGCAGCAAGCTACCCCAGATCCTGAGAATCCTTGTAAGATCTGGTTGAAGCAAACTACCCGGTCCCTGAAGCTTGATTAAAGTGACATAAGGAAGTACGAGATGATTTTCAAAAACCGTGGTTGAGAAAGATAACAGAGAGCAGCAAGTAGGTGTTTTGATGGCCATAATAAAGCCTGACCACCTACCAACATTTCATAGCCAGAGTGTCTCAAAGGGACCTCTGTGAAGGGAAGAGAGGATCAGACAAACAACATTCCCTGCAGCCCTCACAAGCGGGAAGCTGAGGTGCCATCGCACGGTTGATAATGTGGATGAAGACTTTCATCATAATGTATTTCTTTGTGTATTTTAGAGCTTTTATTATATATACGAAATGCAAAGGTGATGACATACAAGGCTGTGATAGTTGTATTAAGACTACAAAAACAGGTAACCAGATATCCCAAACTCTTATTTGGCACTCGCATTATGAATGTAAAGGATCTGTGTCTAAATGTAGAAACTTAGACACTGATTATAGTGTGTGTCAACCAGTGTCAGGTGAACCCAAGTGCTTTGATCCCCAATTCCAACCCCAAACCTGGATGGTTCTTTGAAATGCCTACCCTCAGGGGGCATTGATAAATAAAACCTTGTTAAGTACCACCTCTTCCCTAGGCATCCTACTATTCGATGCATGCAAATCAATTTCTGGTAGTGGAAAACCATGGAATATATGTGGTAATCTTAAGTGGGAATGAACATATGGATTTAATGATAAATACGTATGCCCTTGTAGAAAAACTACTGACCCTGGTTGTCCAAATAGTGACTTCAACCTTTGCCCATATTGGTCATGTGTAGGTTGTGCAACCTGGGGAAAAACAGTAGACCAAGACCTTATAATTCAAGGTTACCTAGTACTCCTCATTGTAAATCAATGGAGCATAATCCTGTACTCATGAATACAGCAATTTATTAATATTTGGGAATATTTTCGGTTTCCAAATATATGGTACAGGGACAGACCCAGGAGCCATCCTATATATAGGCCTTGAAACAGAGACCCTGAATGCCCAAACTCATAAGGTATTCTATTCCTTTTATGAGGAGAAGAGTGTTGAAGATGAAGTTCCCCACACTGTTAAGAACCTGGTCATCAATCTGGCTGAGAGTATTACAAGTTGTCTTAATGTAACTAACTGCTTTGTATGTGGAGGTACAAATATGGGACACCAATGGCAATGGGAAGCGAGAGAAGTATGGTATCCTGGTTCTGAGACAAATGAGCAACAGATGCCTTCCCACTCCAGTAATTAAGCAACCATACGGGAAAAATCGGAATGGCAAATAACAACATCCATAATCGTCATGTATGCTTAGCTAGGGGAGGCCCAATGTATAACACACCTGTAGGCAGAAAGCATATAATGCTAGTAGCCATAATACTACCTGGTGGTCAGCTTCAAATGTCTCAGAGCCTACCAATCCATTTGTGGTAAGAAGGTGTATTCAGAATTACCACAAGATTGGGCGGGGGCATGTATGCTAGGTATGCTCAAACCATCCTTCTTCTTGTTACCAATCCAAACAGGAGAGACGTTAAGGTCTATGATGTAAATCATAGGAAGAAGCGAGTACCATTAAGTATAGGTAATTGGATGAATGGCCACCCCAGCAAATTAAAAATTACTGTGGAACTGCTACTTGGGCTGAAGATGGTACTTATGGTTACCGAACCCCCATCTACATGCTTAGCTGCATCATAAGATTGCAGGCGGTGGTTGAGATTATAACTAATGAGACAGCTGTACCAATTAACCTCCTGACAAAACAGAATACCTGTATGAGGTCAGTCATTTACTAAAATAGGCTGGCTCTTGACTATTTATTAGCGGTAGAAGGAGGTGTGTGAGGAAAGTTTAATCTTTGTAATTGCTGTCTGCATATAGATGATGAAGGGCAAGCTGTGGTTGACCTTACCAGCCACATGGTTAAATTAACGCACGTACCTACTCAGATCTGGAACGGGCATAATATCGTATGCCTCTTACTAACCTGCTTTATTCCATTAATAATTGAGAGCACTATAGAAAGGAAGACAGCAGCTCACGTAATGGCCATCTGGAGATATGAACCTCTAGCCCAAAGAGAAATAATTTGTAATCAGGTCGATGAGTTCTGAGAATTCATAAGATTCAGCTAGAATGCTTACATGGTCTCTCCTGTTTTGTAATTACCTGAGTGGTATTGGCAAATTATGGTAAGTGATGCATCTGGAGTACTCAGTATCAGAAGCATCAAAGGGGGGAATGGGATGGGATTTCATCCCAAAATTTAGTAGGCCTAAAATCTCCATGTGGCATATACAAGTACAGGTATCTGTTAGTTAGTTAGTTACATGTAGCTAAAATACTGTCATCAATGTACTGAGCATGCACAAGAACTGAAACCACATTCCATTGTCTCCTAGTCCCATGTTGCCTGTCAATATAAGGTAATCCTGTGTATCCTGTTTGCTGATTGGTGTAAGGGTACAGAAGAAGGATGCATAGCTTATAAAAAGCCTCTACTCCATGTGCTCAGTGCTCAGACCTTTTGAACATTAGTTCAGCTGAGACTCACCAATGACGATTGGTGAGTGAAAATAAAGACCTTTTGCTTCCTGAAAAGACCCGTGTCTGGACTCTCTGTGCGTGGCTTTTTCATTGTTTCCTGCAACAATAATACAACTTAAAGGGACACTATAGTCACCAGAACAACTACAGCTTATTGAATTTGTTGTGGTGTGTAGAATCAATATCTTCAAGCTTTTTGCTGTAAACACTGAGAAAATGAAGTAACTTCACTGGCCACTCCACAGATAGCTGTTAGAGATCCTTCCTGGGTCATGGCTGCCTAAAATGCATCCAAACATTCAGTATCTCCTCCCTCTGCATGCAGACACTAAACTTTCCTCATAGAGATTCATTGATTCAGTTAATCTCTATGAGGAGATGCTGATTGGCCATGCTGTGTTTGAATCATGTTGGCTCTGCCCCTGATCTGCCTCCTTGTCAGTCTCAGCCAATCCTATGGAAAAGCACTGTGATTAGATCAGGCTACCACTTCTGATGATGTCAGCAGACTGCTTGTTTTTTTTTTAGCCAAACAGCATGCAGAGTTACAGCTTCTGGCTTGAATACAGTAAGATTTTGCTATATTTATGGAGGCATGAGGGGGCCAGGAGGGCTAGATGGTAGTTTTAACACTATAAGGTCAGGAATACATGTTTGTGTTCCTGACCCTATAGTGATCCTTTAATTCCAATGAAGTTGTTGTGATGCCAGGAGTGTACATTTCAATGTTTGAATTGTTATCATTTAGCGCTAGATACATTTTTTTTTTTTTTATCAACGAACAGGGAGATCATCAAAATAAATTAAATGCTTTCATTAAGACTCACTTTATTTGTATAATGTACACTCGTTTATTATTCATTAAACAAATCCCAGCATGAAAAATCAGAACTTTTTAAATGTACAGTAGCAATTATATTTATGGGGTGCCCTTTATACGTCTTATTGCTACTGGCATCATGGGCAAGGAAGAAATGAGACATCTAAACACAGGTCAGAAAAACTCCTACCTACACATTCGCATTCAATTCAGTGAAATGTTACATGAGACGCTTCCAATTAAAGGGTTTCTCCAAGCACCATAATTATTTCCATGATTTAAGGTGGTCTTGGTGCTTGGAGTAAGTATGTGCCGTCTTTCAGTATGAAATTATGCAGATACAAAAAAAAATACACACTGCTACAAGGCGTAGAGTTCCGGTTTGGCTAATGTTATGTCAGTGCATATTGGCCATCTGTCATCAGCACACGTAGCATGCTGGCAACAAACAACCAATGGTTGCACATCCTTGTCCCTGCGCTGAGGGGGTCTGATG